TGGGTAATTTCAGAGGAGGTTACTACGGTATCAAGGTAATCCCCAAAAAAGCAAGTATTAAAGGGAAGGATAAATGGGTCAAAACTTTCAAGTTAAGTTGTGAAAAACTTTCAACAGTTAACTTGCTATAAAATTAAAACTATATGAACAGACTATATGTCAGTATATGTGTTTATAACATATTTTAATTGACAGGTGTAAATACCATTAAGGAAAATGGTAGTCGAATATGAAGGTTTTATAATACAGTTCTTTTGCCACAAATACCTTCATTATTCACCAAATTAAGTTTATTTGCAGATGAAAATGAATCTAGTGTGCAAGTTTTACAAATATTAGCATCATCATGTGTTGCTTTTAGTAGCAGTCACAGAAAATATAAATACCTTGATATCATAGAACCCTTGATATCATAGGAACCGAGTATAATTTCAGTTCAAAACATTATATGCAAGTCTTATACAGTTTTATCACAAAACATGTCAAGACAGTGACGAAATAAGCAATAAAATTGAGAATGCTTCACACCTAATCACTATTTTCAGTTGAAATTTTGCATCGCTTAAATTGCAGTTCGAATGTTGGAGCAAAATACATCTTTTTAATATTGAAACCAAGACACCAGAGGAAGGAAAATTGTGCGCTGCGCCTTGCACTGCTTCAATTCGCTTTTAAATTGGTTTTGACAATATGAACTGGGATTTGTTTGTTTTGTTTATGTGTGAAACCTGCTTAAAGATTGTTTTATTTTCATTTTTAAGTAAGAACTCTAATAAAAAGAATAACTTCATAAATTTTTTTTGACATGCCCACCGGTAAGATGCTTTTTTAGGATGTGCGAAGTCTGGGGTTTGAATCCCGGTCAAGGCAAATGAAAAAAAAATCTATAAAAAGCTTTTTTTTTAATGACCTGTTACAGTTTTCAAAAAGATACTCCATAACTATGTAGCTTAACCATATCATTTGGTAAAAGTAGTGTCAATTTCGGTGTTCAATTTTGCGTTGTTTCAAACTAATTATTTCAATAATTTTTACTGTTAAGCCTTCTCCGAAACAGCGTCAGTGACTTTCGTTTCTGGGAAAGAATCGCCCGCTTTACTTATTTACATAAAGAACGCGGACCGGTAAATAAGAGATATCGAGGATTTTTTTATTGTTTATGTGTTTTAATGACAACAAATTTCATTTTCAATATTAATTCTTTTGATTCGACAATTATTTGAAACGATTTATCTAAAAAATATCATATTTAACCATTATAAAAGCTGAAGGCCGCTTTAAGAAGGGGAGTTTATTTTTCGCGCATGGTTACATTTTACATGGTTATTTGAATAAACTTTATTGCATAGGTGTAAAATGATAATAAAAACTTTAAAAAGTAGCTAAAAATTTAAACAAGAAACATTAGTTAATAGGCAAAATCAATTCCTCTAAACATGTAGCGATGGTTGAAAGCTCAGTTAGAACGCAAAGGGGCATTTTCATTATAATTAAATAACAATAGCCATGTTACACATGGTAAATACCTTCGGGAAGAAGTAACCTCAAGGTTGTATATTTAACATGGTGCAAGGAATTCTTTAAAAAGCTCATGCTAATTGCAGTTATGGTCATGCCACTGCTTTGTCAGTGTATGAAGTTTGAAGATAATAGCTAAATCAATTTTGTTTTTGCAATTATGGTTCGGACAAAGTTTTTCAAGTAAATTTGAGAAAGGGGAATAACTCTAAAAGTAGGGAAAACAGAGTTATGGTACTTAAACATTACACTTTCTACTAATGTACTCTGTCAGTGTGGTCAAGTACTTTTTAGCTATGTTCCGGACAAAATAAATTTGGACGATCACAGATACAAAGCCGCACAGACGCTTTGACGGAGACTTTGGCGAGAAGATAGAAAAGAATCTGAACAGTGAAATGTTCTCCTGTTTGCAAAAGAAAATCTTATACAATCAAGAAACATTAAAAGTTAGGAAAATATTATGCCTATAGGTGCCCCAAATGTTTGTAATAAATGTTTTGATGCCAGCCTGTATACTTAAAGTGATCAATAACATGCTCGTGTCATGAAGATGACAATTATTTCATTCCGCGCGCAACTTCTACCGTCCCCAACTAAAAATACATTAGTTCTTCCATGTAACTTTAATGTAAACAATGACAGAATTAAATGAGTAACGTTTAAAACGGCACGCCTCCAGATGAGCCCAATATTTCAAGAAATAAATGTATTAAGATCTTAAGAAAAGTTAAAAGATTCAATATTCATTATTTACGTGTTATGTGCGATTAATGACTGATTTTTGCAGTATCAGTCACTATAATTCTCCTGCGTCACTAACACAGTAAGAGCTATTTATGTATATTTGACCTCTTTTTGGTAATTAACGTTGATTGTAAGTGCCGTTTGCAATGTGTAAATTACTTTCTACGTTCACTTTACAATATTTTACTTTTAAATACATGTTCAAGTTTTCATGAAAATAAGCATGAATCTGGAGGCGTGCTGCTTTAAATATTATTTATCTGACATCCATTGAAATATATAGTATATTTCGCTTAAAGTATACAGTAGTTGAAAGGTAGGTCAATCGGAATCAATTAAAGAAACATCAGTTTGCAGGGTTTCTTTTCAGCAAAATCAGGCTAAAAGCCCTAACTCAAGCAAAATGTCCGGATCGATCGGTTTTTGGACTGGCGATCTGTTCTTTTTGTATATCATTTTATTTAATTTATATATAAATTTCCGTAAAAAAACATCATTTTTTCGAGAAAACCGTTTGAACACCATTTGTCAAGTTCCGTTTTGGATTCGTTTTTACATTAGTTGGAGGGTCTTCTTTGCAGCAATATAAAGCCTTACTCATGCAAAATGTCCGGATCGGTTTTTAGACCAGCACTGTTCTGTATATCACTTTATATAATTTTAATATAAATTTTCGTAAACAAAACCCATCATTTTCTCGAGACAACCATTTAAACACCATTTGTCAGCTTCTGTTTCTGATTCATTTTTACATTAGTTTACAGCAATATCAGGCCCAATGCCCTAATGCATTTTAAATGGCCGGAAAATTTCCACGTGGCATGGTCGTTTTTGGACCGGCGATTGGTTATTTCTGTATGTAAAATGTATACATTTTCGTAAAAAGCACTGTTTCCTCTGGCCAATCGTTAAAATACCATTTGTCTTATTTTGTTGCGGATTCGTTTAGAGTTTAGAGGGTCTTCTTTGCAGCAATATGATGCCAAATGCCCTAACCAAAGCAAAATGTACTAGAGATTTCCATGAATCATTGTCTTTTTTGGACTGGCGATTTGTTCTTTCTTAAAAATATATGAATTTTCGTAAAAAGCACTATTTTCTCGAGCCAATCGTTATAACACCATTTGTCTGATTTTGTTGCAGATTTGTTTTTACATTAGTTTGGACAATATAAGGCCCAGTTCCCCTACCCATTCAAAATGTCCCGGAACCTTTCTTCGTTGTATTGCCGTTTTACGAACCGGCGATTTGTACTTTCTGCAGTGTAAAAATTGCATAAATTTTCGTAAAAAGCACCATTTTCTCCAGTCAACCTTTAATTATCACTTGTTTATTCCTTTGTGATCTGTGATCTGTTCATTAGTTGGGAATGTCTTCTTTACCGTGATATAAGGCCCGATTACGTTTTTTTAATTTTCTCATAATTTTTGCTAAAGTTTGCATGATATTTTCTTATGTTAATGTCACGGTTCAGAACTGTTCTATATTTAGGGGAGGTGTGTTTACAAGCGGCCGGATAGCTCAGTCGGTAGAGCAGCGGAACGGTATTCCGAGGGTCCCGGGTTCGAGTCCCGGTCAGGCTGCACATTTTTCTCATCCTGTGACATTTGGCGCCCAACGGGGGACCGTGATTGAATAAGCTCAGAGTTTAATTCACATTGCTCTGTAACTCTGTGAAATTCGAGGACGAATTTTAATATAGCAGGGGGAGTATGTCACGGTTCAGAACTGTTCACTATTTAGGGGAGATGATGTGTAAGCGGCCGGATAGCTCAGTCGGTAGAGCCGCGGAAGGTATTCCGAGGGTCCCGGGTTCGAGTCCAGGTCATGCTGCACATTTTTCTCACCCTGGGACATTAATACATAATTGGGAAAGTATACTTCACGTATTTAGTACATCTAACTATAAAAAATACACGTTATTGTAACCTTTACGGTATATATACAGCATATTGAACAAAGTGTTTAAGCCATTAAAATTCCAGACATTTATTTTCATTAATAAAATGTATTTAATCAAGTTAAAAGTATATAAATATATTCCTTATATGCAATACGATTTCGTAAAATTTGTGAATTTTATATTGCTGGTTTGTCAAACCTGTTTTCTAAGACCTGAAAATATCTTGGATAAAAAATCTTCATCTTTTAAATCTCAAGTTTTTTTATGCAATCATACCTTGACATACTTTTTATGGAATGGTTCAAACAAGCTTCGAGTTGTTTTCTCGTGTAAGGTACACGCATTGTTTTACTTTGGGACCATTCACTGCTTTTCATGAAATGACATTAACGTGTCACATTGAAGGTTATATGACAACCGCCGTATACACAGTTACACACGTCTGCGTATGTTTCAAAATGCCAAATTTTACCATTTCAAGATAACTGAATAAAGCTTAAGCCGGTGCTAGGGGTCATTATCGAAAACTTGCACTTTCCATTACCGTCCATGAATAGGCTCAATCAAACTGAGCCTGCGATATTTTCAATTTTGGTGTTTTGTGCGTTCTTTAGGAATTCTTTATTTCTCTTTACTTCATCACAATCACAATATCACATTTTGTGTCTCTCTTTTTATATTTTGGTATTATGTAATTGTAGTGTAATGTTATTCTAGGACATTTGAGTAACATAATTTATGTCCGTGTAAATGAACTATTTAGAATTATTAACTCTTAACACGTAATATTATTTCGATTTTAATACACATAAAAATGAAATAAAATTATCTCTGTGTTTCATATAAAACAATTGTTACAAAACGACACATAGCTGTAGTATCTTGTTAAAATTTATAGAAAATCTTTTAAAACCCTTTGTACATATTCGAAGCAGATTCGAGTTATTTTTTATTTTAAAAACATGCCATCAAGTAATAATCAATAATAAATCAAAATCTAATATATTTTAATTTGCCAAACACCAGAGTCAACGTTTATGTTTTTACTTCCGGGAAAAAGATTGGGCAGACGACTAGTTTGCAGACGACCAGCATGCAAAGGGCGGATAATTTTCAATGAAATGTACAGAGTTGTGCCTAGTGAGATACAACAAGTCCTCCCATTTTTACCTGAACCTTTATTGTTTCAACATCTGTAATATATCTATCTGTGTTCTTCTGTACATCTTCTAAACATTGTCTAGTTTTCTTCAGGTCCGCCTTCAATTCATCGGCAGTGGTTGGCCAAGTTTTCTCTTCTGACGAAATAGTGACATCCAAAAGATTTCTAAATATATCTGGCTGCAGACGTATTGCTATCCATGTCGCTTGTACATCAACGCAGTGGTTTATAGCATTAATTAGTTCAACAATATGTTCAACGTTCATTTGAATCGTGCTCGTATCTGTCACAAATGCATGCGGGAGATTGCCGATTGGGATTGAATTGATGACGTCAACTAGGTCATTGGTTGCTGGCAGGATAACCTTTAAGTTATCATAAAGAGCACCAACATGGTCTGCTAATTCGTCAATCAACTTTTCATTTCCGTTACAATTACCCATGCTGAAAATCGATGCAAATGAGAATGTTATATTGGTTTTAAACATGTAAACAGTAACAATGTGAAGCCATGCAAAATAATTCGTCTTTTGTATATTTTAGGACAGTATAAAACACATTTTTCACTATAACGACTTCATTTTACTGTTTAAACTAATTAGGTGATAAGAAAGAAAATAGAAATACATTTAAACAGCTTAAAACAGGAAGAGGAGCAAACTATGATATTGAAAAAAGCGTTATACAAAGTTAAACATATATACAAGAGAGTAAAGAGAATGTGAAACTTTCAAAGATAGCTTTAAGATTAGGTATCCAGTATAGATACAGTCCAGTGTAAGTTTTCAGTCATTCAAACTCGGAATTCTTAAATAACAATCGAATAATGATCAAGTAAACATGTTAATTTCATAACGGTTGATGTTATGTAGTTTAAAATGTTATTATATAAATGCTATTTAAATCGTGATAGGCAATCTGTCTAAAAGACTAGATATAAAGTTTTCTGTCATATTTTGCTTTTTTTTAAAAGATCTATTGTATATTTACAGCATTAAGTTATCTACGAAAGACCGGTAGGGACATTTCAACTTCACGAATTCCCGATTTCATCTGCATTAATTCACGATTTCAACTTCACGATTTCAACTTCACGAATTCACGATTTCAAATTAATGAATTCACGATTTAAACTTCAAGAATTCACGACTTCACCTTTATGAATTCACGAAGAAGAAATCGGGAATTAATGAAGTTGAAAGGTCTTTCGTAGTTATCAACAAGCTTTCGATACAGAATAATGTTTGCATCAAGCAGACGGTTACATATTGGTGAAAGTTCGAAATTATTGTTTTACTTACCTCCCTTGTTATTTTGTTTTATTAAATGACAGCTAAGAGATCCTTGGATGCTGATATCCTGGAGATGTTTGAAACGATTCGGCCAATCACTACACATTAAATACAACGAAAACTCCCCTAGCAGTAGTTATGCACCGAAAGAATTTATCGAAGTAATTTTTTGCGATGAAAACAGTTTGTGATTTATAGCCGGACATGAAACCTACGTGCACAATATTTTAAAGTGGGCGATGTGTCAAAAGATTAATAAGAAATCCGTTTCTACGAAGTCCTTTGAGAACTTAAAAACTGCATGGTTGCATGTTTTGACATCTGCGTGGCCTTGACAGATTATCACCTACCCCATGAAATATTAAAGTGCATGTTTTAACACGGGAATACTTTATCTTTACATTTGATTATTTTTATGGTAAATAGATGATCAGGCTATTCTAATAAAATATACGACTATTTTCTGACAAATTTCTATTTCTAGTTCGGACGAAGTCCATCTGTTAACAGTTTTACTTCCTGTGATATTAACAGTGAAGAACTGAATATAAGAAGAATATTTATTTTTATTGGTAATTTCAAAATTACAAACTGAAATCGGTGAATGTCATTGGCCATTCGAAAATAAAATTTTAAGGATAGCTCTAAGATAAAATGTAAGGGATAGTCTGGCCACTATAAAATAAAATGTAAAGGACAGTTCTAAAATAAAATATACAAGAAAGAGTATAGTTCATTTACTTTTAGGTTAATTTGGAAATGATTACAAATTTATAAAGTCAAACGTAATGCAAGCGAAAGGGACACCTTAAATAGAAGTTGTTCTACTTTGAAAAAAATCATCAATATCAATATGCAATATTGTTTATAAGCATCATCCTTTCTTTATATTTTTGATAAGACCGCATGAAAGCCCGCGGTCAGGACGGGTCCTGGGGTCGTGAGCACAAGCTGTATACTTGCGAAGAACAGAGGACTACTGGTATTTATAAATCAATTTGTAATGTAAATAACTGGAACAATTTTGAGAACAAAACCGGCATTATACCCAAAACAAACTATCCTCTCACTTAAAGTAATATTTTGGGGAAGAAAGAAGAAGAATTTGACGCACCAATAATATAATCGTCGTTTACATCCCATAATGCAGAGTTGTTAAAAACAACCGCAGGATTGTGCAAAAAATCAGACAGTATTGTGGAAATGAAAGCCAAAATCTAGTATTATATGAAGCTATAAAGTTCGACAATTATGTTAGGTTTACCGAAAAACAAACTATAAAGAAAGTCATATAAATGAAGTGGATAATTAGAAGAAGGAATTTATGGCCAAATCAGTCGTCACTGAAATTTTACGCATATTGCATAAGACTCGAACCCACGATTGTCTCAGCTAGCAAAGATAACTGAATTGATCTGAAAGGTTCATTTTCCATGAAATAAAGTTATATCATAAAGTGACATATGCAAGCGCAGTTGTAGTCCTTTCGTAAGTTTCTCAAACATTTGTTACCTATGATGATATGGTAAATGATTCAGGTTTTAAAATTGGTGAACAATCGTGATATTCAACTAGGTAAATGCATTTCCCCCAGAATAAGAATAATAAAATCTTTATAAACACATGTAACGCATTGCTAATGAAAGTTACATAATTACAAGGAGAAGACATAACTCTACGATAAAGAAATCTGATGTTTCGCCGAAGTTTATATAAATTTTAAAAGAAGCAAACTTCTAAAAGCCACTGGCTTATTTGCAAACAGTCCATTAGGTCATCTTTGGTGAAATGAAAAAAATAATTACATACATATTTCAGAGAGATGCCATCGCCAAGGGTACGTTCATTGACTATCGTCCTTAGTGCTTGGTCTCTGCTATCATATTTCATTATGCAACAGTGTTAGAATGTAATATATTAAATTAATAATTAAATTACATTAAAATGAGGGCAAAAACTTTATTATAAATATTGTATGAATAATGGATTTAAAGCATGTTAAATGTTTATCACTTGATGAAATGCAGTACCATATGTAGAATTCTCTTTTATGAAAGTAATCAAATGTAAAAACAAATTGGTATTTAGATTTTATACGAAATATTTAATCACTATAATTTACAATATAAATGCTAACATGCAAAGGATGGTCCAATATAAGGTAAGTTAGTAATTTCATCTTGGAAACTATACATCAACAAGAGGGCCATGATGGCCCTGGGGTCGCTCACCTGTACATAGGCCCCCGGGGCGGGGCCAGTTTAAACCAAAGGGCTTTTATTTGAACAAACTTGGAAGACACCTATTAGAAGATGTTTCATGATGTTAAGTTTTTACTATACACATATAATGAAAAACAATGACTTTTGCCCCCCTCCCACTGGCAGGGCCAATTTTTACCCAAGGGCTTTTATTTGAACAAACTTGGTAGACACCCATTAGAACATGTTTCATGCTAAATATCTTAGCTCTAGCTCTTTGGGTTCTTTAAAAGAAGATTTTTAAGTTTTTAATTACTATATGCAATATAGGGAAAATCAATGACCCCCTGGGGCGGGGCCAATTTTGACCCAAGGGCTTTTATTTGACAAACTTGGTAGACATCCATTAGAAGATGTTTCATGCTAAATATCTTAGCTCTAGCTCTTTGGGTTCTTTAAAAGAAGATTTTTAAGTTTTTACTCTATGTATATAGGGAAAATCAATGACCCCTGGGGCGGGGCCAATTTTGACCCCAGGGCTTTTATTTGAACAAACTTGGAAGACACCTATTAGAAGATGTTTCATGATGTTAAGTTTTTACTATACACATATAATGAAAAACAATGACTTTTGCCCCCCTCCCCCTGGCAGGGCCGATTTTAACCCAAGGGCTTTTATTTGAACAAACTTGGTAGACACCAATTACAACATGTTTCATGCTAAATATCTTAGCTCTAGCTCTTTGGGTTCTTTAAAAGAAGATTTTTAGATTTTTAATTACTATATGCAATATAGGGAAAATCAATGACCCCCTGGGGCGGGGCCAATTTTGGCCCAAGGGCTTTTCTTTGAACAAACTTGGTAGACATCCATTAGAAGATGTTTCATGCTAAATATCTTAGCTCTAGCTCTTTGGGTTCTTTAAAAGAAGATTTTTAAGTTTTTACTCTATGTATACAGGGAAAATCAATGACCCCTGGGGTGGGGCCAATTTTGACCCAGGGCTTTTATTTGAACAAACTTGGTAGACACCCATTAGAAGATGTTTCATGCTAAATATCTTAGCTCTAGCTCTTTGGGTTCTTTAAAAGAAGATTTTTAAGTTTTTACTACATGTATATAGGGAAAATCAATGACCCCCGGGGCGGGGCCAATTTTGACCCCAGGGCTTTTATTTGAACAAACTTGGTAGACACCCATTAGAAGATGTTTCATGCTAAATATCTTAGCTCTAGCTCTTTGGGTTATATAAAAGATGATTTTTTAAGTTTTTACTTTATGCATATAGGGAAAATCAAAGACCCCCTGGGGCGGGGCCAATTTTTACCCCAAGGCTTTTATTTGAACAAACTGGGTAGACACTCACTAGAAGATGTTTCATGCCAAATATCTAAGTTCTAGCTCTTTTGGATTTTTAGAAGAAGATATTTAAAGTTTTTTCTTTTGGTTGCCATGGCAACCAGAGTTCTGCATGGAATGGAATTCTTTGAACAACTTTGTTAAGGCTTCACACAAGGAACATCTCTGTGAAGTTTCATTATGATCTGCCTTATGGTTTCAGAGGAGATGTCGTTTTAAAAGTGTGAACGGACAACGGACGACGTACGACGGACGACAGACGACGGACGAAGAGTTATCCTAATAGCTCACCCTGAGCATATGCTCAGGTGAGCTAAAAAGGGTTCTGAGATTTAAAAAAAATGTTTTTGGAGCCTAATGGGACTTGACAAAAGAGGTTTACATTTTTTGTAATATCATTTTTAAGTGAAACTAACATTTATCTTGCTAAACTACTGGTACTGATTAAGAATTTAATTTAGGTCACTGAACTCTTTGCACTCACCTCCAAGTGCATATCACTGACTGTTTGCGGTTGCATCCATATCAAATAACGTTTAAAACATGAAATTTCGACTTCCATGAAACGCCAACTGGTAAAGGGTAGTATCATGCCTATAAATAGCCGTAAAATTGTATCATACAAACACAACAGCTACCTGCGCTGCTTAAACAGGTAAGGGGCTTATTCTTTGTTCCTATTATTATTTGTCTTTACTTTTTATTATTCCGTAAAAATGATATTTGATGTTTAGTAGTTGAAACGCTCAATATTTAAATGCATAATCAAAGCAACACTCTAAAAATGTTTATTGACATAATATAAAACATTGTTTTTAATTTAGATTATTTGAAAAGGTATATTTTTTATTCATAAACGAAATTGCTAATTAATTGCTTTTTGAAATGTTATTGGTAATTGATATTTTTTAAATAAATACCATGATTTAAAAAGATCAAGATTTATAAACGCTTCTTAAATCGTTTTTCATTTATCTATCTTTTATTTATCTATTTTATATGTTGTTTTATATTGGTAAAAAGTTGCCGAAAAGTCTTGTCAAATAAAATTGATATCAAAGAAAGAATCATACAATATCATTCGCTATCCGCTGGGCTATTTTATATAGCAAGTCCTAATTTTCACAACTAATATAAAATACAAATGTTGATAATTTCTTTGTCGTTCAACTTAGGTTACATTTTATTAAACATGTTCATTCATCTGTGATATCTTATTTTTGTGTTTAATACAGACAAACGATGGGTATTTTTGAAGATCTATTTTATCCCGACAACCCTAAAAGAAGGGCTAAATTGGAACAAAACATAGGGGCACTCTATAACAACCTAAATATATAGATGTGACGGCCACAAACGATATTGTCGACATAATTAACACACACTTACAAGGCAACATTAAACACGTTTCCATTGATAATGATGACACAGTGAAGGCTAACGCTCAACGCATTTCTGAATGTGTCGATGCCATCAACAAATTATCAAACAAAAGCTCGAAGATATTAAAACAAGATTTGATCCGAATATTTTCAAGATGCTCATGGATGTATATGTTTCGTTTGAAGAAAAGATCAAACTTGCGGAAAAATTTGCGGAGTCGCTCCTGCCAATAGGAGGTGTGGTTGGAGTATTGTCTTGCTCAACAATAGCAGGAATGGATTTCCTAGAGGGTGTTGTTGAGGTAGTCGGTGAGACGGCCGCATCTGCTTTTGCTGCTATAGGAGTTGGCGCGTTATTTCTGGGTATTGACATGATAGCTGAGGCAATTATTGGGGCCGTAGAAAGGGACAAACTAAATGAAGAGATTGACAAAACAGAGAAATGTGTCGAGCATATGCAGAAAATGACTGGACCGTACATAGCTTATGTGGAGGAGATCAAAGTGAGAATTGAGATGATTAAGCCAAAGAAAAACTAGAATAATTTTGGGAAACAAACGATGTAAGATATCATCAAATGTGAACCTTTGACCTTTCGAATATCAAATCGTGAAATGTGAAATATGACTATAGTTGTCCTTTTTCATTAAGCTAAATTAAAATTGTTCATCTTTAGCGTATCAGTATAAAAAATTATCTTTCTTTGTTTAAATCTTCATTACAATCACTTTAATGGGTTACGTTTTTATCTTGTATGTCTAATAATGCCTTCGGCAAACAGAATAAAGAAATTAAAATTAAAGATATTTTTGTTAAATACATTTGTCGAGATACACATCTCTATTTTATGAATTATGATAATCAATAACCTACTGTTTTAATATATTTAAGACATGTACAACTACCAGTGGCTTTTAAAATAGTCTCTTTTATTTAATGCTTTTAATAGATTACTGATTTATCCGTGAAAATTATATTTCATAATTTCACAGTGAAAATTAACAAAATATAATTTCACACTGTTCAAAGACTTTTAAAGATTTTCCCCCATGTGTTACCTCAGTTTTATTTTGCGGACAATTTTGACATTGTCAGGGCTGTTTGGAGAAAAGCAAAGCTAAAATTGATAAATAACTTAAATAACTTCAATTTCGAAAGTATTAAAAAGTTAAAAACTTACTGTAATTCATTCAATTTCCCGATTTCATCTTCATAAATTCACGATTTCAACTTCACGATTTCAACTTCACGAATTCACGATTTCACCTTAAGATGAAAAAGCATATTTATATTTACAATCTAAGCGTTGATATATGGCTTTTTTCATAACATCTGCGCTATTTCGTACGAGCACGTCACAATGTCTGATTGATATATGAACAGAAAAAGGCTAGTAAAGTTACTTGAGCAAGACGGAACTGTTAGCAGTGTACGAAACTTGCTAGATATGTAACAACATGTCTAGTTAACTATCATGTGCTTGGTCGAAGTGCAATATTATTGAATTTATTATCGTATTTCCATTTTGTGACGTTTATGTTCGCTGACAAAAAAATGTACGAAAAATAAACAAATTTTCTTTTTGTTTTAAACATGATTAATAACTTCATAACGAATTGTAAACAGAAACATGTAAAGAAAATGACTGCGTAACTTTTTGATATGTTAATGCAATAAATTTAGTGAACTTAAATCGAGAAACATGCGATAAGGAACAAAAAGCAACTATATGTTTTTATGTAAATTTAGCAATTTATGGACATTTAATCATAAATTAATATGTAGGCGACAAGAAGTTCTGCAAAGCTAAACAATTTCATTACCCACACTATGAGTGATATACTGCGAGTGAGTGATATGTATTTTATTTCATCTATCAAAACCTTAAATTTCATTTGTAAGCAAATACTATTGAAGCAATTTGACAGAGTAGATGTTAAATATTTGTTTATTTTTCGTACATTTTTTTCCATCACAAAATGGAAAGACGAGAATAAATTCAATAAAATTACACTTCGACCAAGCCCATGATAGTTAACTAGACAATTGTTGTTACATATCTAGAGAGTTTCGTTCATAATGTTGAAAAATAACAATTAATTGAGGATTCACCATAAAAGCTGTATTAAAAACATTATAATCAAATCGGCCTTTCAAAATGTTCATTACTCACTGTATAGCCAATTTATGGTAGAATTTATTTTTGAACAGGAACTTTTTTTAAAAAGTACTTGAAAACATGAAATATAATGAAACGCTTTTAAATACACGTCTGTGGATGTTTAGCAGAACACATAACTCGATATTAAGCTAGATACTGCACAAAGGAGTGTTGCGTTGTAAATCCTTATACCAATAATTTCACTTATTTTTACCTGTCTTTACGGAATTTCGTACACTTTTTGTATCCATATATTTTCCGCAGAGGTCATGATTGTGTAAAATGCCGTTTATAGCGGAGATTTGACACAGAGTGATCTTTTAAATGACAAACAAAATAACAAACGCCCCGTACTTGATTGCGTGATTTATATTCAAAGGGATTGGGGATATTAAATCACGTGTACCGAAAAAATTGAGTCGGTGATCCCCTCTTTTCTTTAGTCATTTACACCAAGAATGCATTTTAAAGGACGTCTTAAGAAAAAAAAATTCATTTTAGGAATTTTCTAATAAGCCGCTTTAAACTGAACGTCAAATTTAACACAATTTTGACAGTTTTCTTCCTATTTTTCATACATTTTCGGCGTAAAACGATAAGTTTTATATCAGCTTAAAGGAAAAAATAATTTCCGTCGGATGCTGTAGAATTTAAGATATTTTGTCCGCCAATTGCGTCGTGATATCCGTAACAGTTGCCAAGGATATGCAACGACATCATGTTCAAAAACGGACCTTGATGGTCATTTATGACGTCGTGTGTACAAAATTTGGCCAAAACTATTGAAATAAAAATAACGGCATCTAATCAGAAATATGGTCAACTTTTTGCATGCCGATTATCAAGACGCTACTCGAAAGTTCGCAAAGTGTCACGTTCTTCCTTAATAAAATATCAGTTAATTAAAAATTTCAAAATACAATTATTTACCAAGTTTGTTTATGAATCAAAAGCATATTTTCCAAATAATCTTATAAAAAGCCATGTTTCATATTAATGATAATGAAAGTAAACATAAGTGTTGCTATGTTTACGCATAAGGCAAATATTGTCCGTTTTAAGTACTAACCATAAAATATCAGTTTTAGTAATAATAAGAAGTAAAGACAAATAATAATAGGCACAACAATAACGAAAAAATACCATAACTGTTTTAGCTGTTGTGTTTACAACATACAATTTTACGGCTATTTATAGGCATGCTTTTTCCAGTAAGCGTTTGTTGGAAGTTGATTTGCATATTTATAAACGTAATTTGATATGAATGTATCCACAAACAGTCAGTGATATGCACTTTGAGGCAAATGCAAAGATTTCAGTGACAACAATTACATTCTACATCAGTAGCGATGATTGTTTAGCAAGATACATTTAAGTTGCACTTGAAATGATATTGCAAAATATATTTCGTTTCGTTTAGTTTATTGATATCAGCTCAGCAATTATATAAATAAAGCATACAAAGTCACAATGATAAATAGCATGCAATATCTCAGAGGACAACTTAAATCATAAGATTACCTATGGTGAACATTATATAATATAGTTAGCTATCTATTACATAAGAAAAATGTGTCTGATAAACAGTAAAGGAGGAAAAAATAATAATAATAATTGCCAGATCTAAACATACGGAAATCAGTGTCAGAGGTAGTATAATCTTGATTTATACTACATTGTATATTCTTTAGTATATTCTGAAAATGAATGCCCATATATGAAAAAATACCGTTTACCGCCTGTGTTATTCATATGTCTTTTATGTTTTAGTACATGTACTTTTTTACTCATATATATAGAAAACAAACATGAAACAAACAAAAAATAAATAAATAAAACACAACCACTGGAATACCACATAGCTTAAGTGTACTTACTGAGTGGATGTCAAGCTAAAACCTTAAGTGGCCAAATGACGTTTGATTACTTTCACTACCAAAAAAAGCTAGAATGAAAATATTTTGACCCAAGTATCAAATAGTATTCTTATTTTACAAAATAATCAATGTTTATAATGCGTCCGAAACTTGTACACTCACGCATGTTAAAAATCATCAAATTGCTTCAAATAATACGAAATCAGTGATATAATTATAATAAAAAAATCCATTAACAAAGAAAAATTCTTAAACGTTTAGACAAGTACTAATGATGTAAATTATTTTAAAACTATGGTAAATATATTAAAAAAATTAAGATATTTCAAATATGATCAAAATTTTGGTAAAACTAGGACAGAGTAAGTTTTGTGTATTGAGCTGAGAAAAGAAAAAACTGATAGTTTAAATATTTTTATTCACGAGCTTGATACATGTTCACAATAAAAAATACAATGAAGCTACATAAATTGTCTAATTTATTACATGTTCATTAAGATTTGCAGTTCTTTTACCTATTTAAATATTTAGGAAAACGTGAAATTGTGGGAGTAATCCTGTTTCACATAATTATATGGAAACATATATTTCTTTTCTTATAAATTATATAATTATAATTTTCTTATCCTACCGTCCAAACGACTTTACTACAATAAAATGCATAACATAATTTTTTCTTATCTTATGCAAGACAGACCTCTAATAAACAATTTTATATTGAGACCATTGTTTATCAGTAACTTCACTACATTTTGAAACAGAACTAAACTGGGTTTGCAAATAAATGTATGTGATTTGCATAATTATAAAGATAGCCACTTGTTTTGGTCAGTTGGTGCGTCAATATTTTGTAACTGCATAATATATACTTAGCAACGTCATCACCAAAGTTTGATATAAATAACAGTAAAGCATGAATTTTGTTAAATCTTGAAAACATGATCAAAAAAATTCATCATTCCAACCGAGGGACTACAATTTATAGAAAGGGGTCTCTATAACAATGATTTCCAAAGCGGCATGATAATAAGAATATTTATTTCACACCTTATATAACCTTAAAAATTATAAGCTATGAACTTTTATTGATAAGAACAATAACATGTCTTCTAAAGTCGAATATAATTTTAACTGCTGTAAGATCATCCAACAGTAGTCAATATTGTATTCAGCAATGTGCCATCTACCATTGATGGTACGAATAAATTCGAAAAGTAAGGCATTAAATAAGCATTATTAAAAAAAGGGATAAATTGTATTCCTGTCATATCAACTACCGATAAATAAATAAGTTATAATCACTTTCCACACACATACAAAAAACGTTCAAAAGAAAATGAATAAATAAAAATTTATAAAAAAAAAAACTCGGCTAGCACCCCGTCGAATATAATTTTAACTGCTGTAAAATCATCCGACAGTAGTCAATATTGTAATACTTCATAATCACTGACAGTGATGAGACGAATAACTTCCAAAAGTAAGGCATTAAATAAGCATTATTAAATAAAGGGATAAATTGCATTCCTGTCATATCAACTACCGATAAATAAATAAGTTATAAGCACTTTCCACACACATACAAACGAAAATTAAAAGAAAATAAATAAATAAAAATTTATAAAAAAATAAACAACAACAACAAACAAGCAATTATCATAGTATTGCAAACAAAACAAAAGTCCCCTACCGGTTAGCTGCACATTAACGTTCTGAAGGGCTATGGCCAGTCAAATATACCTTTTTTTGGAAAACATAAATGAA